TTATTCCCGAACTTACACCGGCCCTCTACAGCCACTTTCTGGGGAAATCCAAGTTCTGCCACTGCACAATTCACATCCCAAATACTTTCTCCATTCCATGAGAACTCAACTGGAACTCAGACAGCAGGATACGCCCTATTCCCAGCAGGAATAACCTTCAACCTGGAACTTCCCTAAACCCAGATTGTCTTAAACCCGGAACGCCTTAAACCCAAATTATCCTAAACCGGGATACTTCCTAAAACCTGCAGGATACACCCTAAACCTGGATCCACCCACGTCCTTGAGCAGGGTCACCTTTCCAAGGCAAGCCCATTTAATATGGGGTACGCTGGCAAGGAAATTTCGATGCGTTGTTCCTACTTGGCAATGGCCCTCAGCAGTTACCCGTATTAGAGATGCTTATTTGACCTTTGGTGTAAAGGAAGAAACTCTGATACATGACCTCTTCTACCATAGCGGCTATTTTTAAAAATAATTTTTTAAAGTTATAGATGGGCACAATACCTTTATTTTACTTATTTATGTGGTGCTGAGGATTGAACCCAGTGCCTCACACATGCAAGCCACAACCCCAGCCCACAGAAACTACTTTGATTTAGATAACTTTGATTTCTTGCTCTTTTCTCCAATCTATAAAATGAAGAAATTGCACAAGGTAGTTTTCCTACAGCCCATTTGTGTTTAAAGACACTTTCCTATGCTATAAAATAATGACCACTCCAGTGTCCATTCCCTTTTGGCAATGGGTGTTTTCTGGTTCCCAGGAGACTCTAGGTGGTATGTTCTTTGTGCTTGAATGTTATGCTCTGAGGCATGGTTTTAAAAAGTGTTATGGAGAAAAAGTACATCATTATTTAAATTGCTGCACCTGAACGCATTTCTCAGTGAAATGTAAAAAGGAGAGCCTTGGTTTCAGGTGGATCTTTTTGGTGGGGGGAGCGGGGGTGAGGAGTGTGGGGGGGCATGTGGTAGTTTTGCTGTAACCTTTCTTCATTCTACATTAAGAAGGTTGTTCCAGACAAACATGTACATAAAGCCAGAGACAAGGGGTTCTTTTACAGTAATCTTTTACTTCTTCCCCAACTCACTGTCTTAGTTTCTAAAGACATTGGTTTTATAAAAACCAAACTTTAGTACTGAAACCAAAATCAACTGAGTCTTTGCTGCAGAGGTACAGAGCTTATCTCTCTGCCCTCCCTACCCACATCTTTCAGGGTGGAGACACAAATAGTAAACTCCTCGGCAGTAAATAAATAACCGTTTGCTCTTGCCTCTTCCAATAAAAACAAAAACAACAACAAAAAAAAACCACTTAAAATTACATGAACTTTCTTTAAAGAATTTGAGGTGGAATTCATATAATAACAAATGCAACCACTTTAAAGTCAACAGTTCAGTGGCATTTCATACTTTCATAAAGTTGTACTTTGTGAATGTACCACCACCTCTAATAGCTTGGAGACATTTCCATTGTTTCAAAATCTGGGTCATTAGTTTCCCCCCATTCCCCTCTCCTGAGTCAGTTCCCCTGCCACCCCCTGTCTCAGTTGTCTCCATGGATTTACCTACTTTGGATATTTCACATAGATATAATCAGATGACCTTTTCTGTCTGGCTTTATTTAGAGACTCATCCATATTTTACCAGGTGTCAGCACTTCATTTCTTTTTATAGCTAATGTTCTATTATATATGTACTACAAATTTTTATCCATTCATTTATTGAAAGGCACTTGTTGTTTCCCACCTTTTGATTATTGTGAACAGTGTTGAAATGAAAGTTTGTTTTTAGTTTTATGGGGGTGTTTACCCCAGAGTAGAACTGCTGAATCATGTGTTAAGTCCTTAATTTCTTTTTTTTTTTTTTTTAATTATGGGGATTGAATCCAGTGGTGCTTCACCACTGAGCTACATCCCCAGCCTTTTTGTTTTTAAATTTTGAGACGGTTTCACTAAGTTGTTGAGGCTACTCTGGAAATTGATATCCTCCTGCCTCAGCCTCCCAAGTGCTGGGATTACAGGAATGTGCCATCACACCTAATTTCTTGAACCACTGGAGTTGAACAATTTTGCACTTCCATCAGCAACATACCAGAGTACTAATTCATTCTTGCAATCACTTGGGTTTTGTTTTTGTTTTTAAGAAAAATGTCTTATCCTTGATTCTGAATCCTGACAGCTGTGCTTCTCATCTCTGTTGGCACTCCTTTTTGGAATTCCCTCATTAGTACTATAAACCAGAAAACTTACCGGGTTTTCTCTTATGAAGCCTTCTTCTCTCCAAATTCATAGCTCTTAAGGAAGAATAGTACTAATTTTGGCTATTTTCCATTTCTCCTTATGCTAAATTTTTGTTCCTTTCATTAACCACCTTCCTTCCTGGCTTCCTGGCCACAAAAATGTCAGAAGTTTCATGATTAGCTATATAGACATCAGAAGTGCCATCATGACAGTACAATGTGTGCATATACTTTTGAAGGTGATGGGGTGGTGAGAGATAAGTAGGAACTGTTTGTTAACTTCTCAAGGGTGAAGACTAATTCATGTTTTTATCCCTATTAATGCTAGGCAGTATAATCAAAGATCCCTTAAAAGCTAAGACTAATGCTAATGGTGCAAAATTTCCAATTCCTTCCCATACACTGAAAATTTACACTCTAGGACAGCTCCACTCTGTCTAAATCTATTAGTCAAATTAGGGAATCAAGACAATAACAAGAGCACTTCAAAGGAAGTGCTCACAGTGCTGAAGAAGTCACTCTGGGGTTGTGTTCCTGGAACACTTATAGAACATTCTATAAGATGATACCCATATAGTGCAAGAGACTTCCAAGAGATTTCATCATATGCAAAGTAACTGGAGATTACACAATTAAATTTTAATGTTAAGAAAAGTTTGGTATTTTTATATTAAAGATTATATGAACATGGTTTTCTTTGTAGGTGCCAAAGAACGTTCTGAGATCTATGAAGCATTTGAAAACATCTATCCTATTCTAAAAGTTTTTAAAAAAGCCTGAGCCTGTTATTCAACATTATATTGATTGAAATATGTACATAAGTCCAGCATAGCAACAGCTGAACTCTTGCACCTTTAATTGTAGATGTTCAAGTTTATTTTGGCTTTTCACAGGGTGGTTGATTCTATGTGAGTAACCATGCTTAAGAAATGAAGAAAATTTCTTGCTTAAAATGACTCTTGCATCTTATCTTAAAAATTGAATAAGAAAACTGTTTTTAGAATTTAAGATTTAGGGCCTTATTAGAATATTTTAGCATGATTAATATTCAATTTTCTGCTTTTGTTAAATATGTAATACAGTAGCATGTGGTTTCTGAATATGTAGCAATGTATAAAATTGCAAATAACTGCATAAACTGATATCTATAATATCATTTAGCAGCATAGATTTTTTTTCTTTTTAAAATATTGAGATTATCCTGACCATTAGATAAAGGGTACTATAAAGGATCCTGTGGGAATGCAAGTGAAACATGAAAAGTTTGAAGGCCAGGATTGGAGCTCAGTGGCAGAGCACTTGCCTAGCATATGTGAGGCACTGGATTCAAGACTCATGACCACATATAAATAAAAATAAAGGTCTATCAACTAAAAAATTAAAAATCTGAAACCTGACTCTTTTGTTTGAAATATCCAGAGAAAATTGTCACTTAAAAATCTCACTTTTGCGCTGGGACTGTGGCTCAGCTATACAGCACTTGCCTAGCATGTGTGAGGCCCTGGGTTCAGTCCTCAGCACCACATAAAAATAAGTAAAGGTACTGTGTCCAACTACAACTAAAAAATATTTTAAAAATCTCACTTTCAGGAACCATTCAGGTTTAGAGTAAGCCATTTTGGAAACAATACAAATTGTTTTCTGCATACTCTTAGACTCCATAGTAACTGTATTTAAGCAACCCAGATAAGACTGAGGATGGAAGTGCAAAGGGTACAGACTGAAGACTTAACTAGGTTGTAGCATCACCAGCATTTACAGAGATGTCGGGTTAACGGGGATGGGACTAACATTACCTACGTGGCATTGATTATGTCCTTCAAGAGACACTTCAGTCTCTCTAATGCAGAGACTGTATGTGATGGCTTCAGAACATCTCTTCATACCTAGGAGGCAGTTCTGAGTCTCTGTGGAACTTGGAGAGAATTCCTAACTAGAGTGTTCAGGGCAGTAGTCAGTGGCAATTCTACTGAAATAATCCTTGAAAATCAGTCTAAATGATTTGACCCACAAACCTACTTTTCTTTTTTATCCTGTAGTTTAGAGACAGTCGAACCTTCTCACCCACCACCTTACTTAACCCCCAGAAACTTACTCGAAGGGAAACCCTAACCTACCTAGTTCAAATTCTTTCAGAACATGGGGTCGGGAAGGAAGGTTGGCCATTAGTTACTAGAATTGCTTTCAAAAACACACAACTTTGATCTACACATTCAGTTTGGTTGGTTTCACTGGTTGATAGAGGCAAAGTATGAGATTATTAAATGGATCTACTTAATTCTTATGGCGCTAGGCAGGTACTGTAATTATATCCATTTACGAGGAGAAAAACACACAGGTTAAAGAATTTGCTCCAAATTACGCAGTAGGTGGGTGAGTCAAACTTTTACCTGGCTCCAAGACTCAACCCCTCGCCCAACTTTTTCATGTGGTTTTAGCCAAACTGAAAAGCATCCTTAGAAAATCGAATCCCCTTGTTCTGTTTCCCATTCCTTTCCCCCAGGATCCTTAGGGCATCGTGTAACTATTTTTTTTTTTTTTGCATAAATTTGAGGCGGTAACTCGAAACCTTGACCTCGTCCAGCAGTCGAGGCTTTGTTTGGCGGATTCGCAGTGGATAGAACTCGCTGCGGCTCGGAGGGCTGGCGAAGCGGCAGCTGAGGCGGGGCCGGGGTCCTCCAAGACCCACGCCCGCCCAGCGCGCTTCCTAGGCCCCTCCTCTGCGCCCAGGATGCACCTGGTTGAAAACAAAATCCCACGTGACCGGCCCTGCGCTCAGTCCATCATGGCGTCTCCCAGTGGGAAGGGAGCCCGGGCGCCCGAGACTCCTGGCTGCGGGCCCCAGACGCTGGTCCGGGACCTGGTGGACTCCGTGGATGACGCTGAGGGGCTGTACGTGGCGGTCGAGCGGTGTCCGCTCTGCAACACCACCCGCCGGCGGCTGACCTGCGCCAAGTGTTTCCAGAGCGGCGATTTCGTCTACTTCGATGGCCGGGACCGGGAGAGGTACGGCGGCCCCCACGGCCCTATTGTTTTTCTCTCTCTCTCTTGCCCGGCGATTAAACTCTGGAGATTAGGGCCCGGGGCCCCTAGTATTGGTCCGGATGCCAGGCATCCGGGGAGGGGTAGTGGCTGTACGCCGGCGCTTGCTTGCCAATGAACGGGGTCGAGGTCGGGGGTGTCAGGTGAGAGAAGGTCGCTTTTTCTCCATCACCCACCTGAGAGGAGTTTGACCCCACTGTGCTACTGGTTACTAGGGAAAGAGGAATAGATGGTGGTTCTCGGGAGAAGTCCTCCCCTGTTGCTGCCATAGAGTGGGAGTCCTATTTCTTCGCTATAGTCCCATTCATAAAGCTTGGTTTAACCTTTTTCTGTCTTCGGAAGCACAGTCATTATCATTTGTCTCAAGAGGAGAGATGAAGAGAGAATCAAATAATTGAGAGACACTTGGGCCCTGTTAGTCCGAGTCACAGATAAGTCTTTTTATCAAATGATCTTACTCCGGTGTGTGAACTAGGACTAGCTGGTTGCTCCCTTTCCCCCCTCCCTATCTCTGAAGATTATTTTGCCTAGGGTTTGAGAGTCGTGTTTTGGCTTTGTTTTAAAATTCACATCCGGAGCTGCAGGCCTTTAGTTAAGAAAATTGCATTTAGCAATGTATTATGGCTTCAATTTGGAATCTAAATAGAGCCACAAGCCCTGCTAAAGGCCTTGAAGAAGCATGATTAGCAGTAGGGTCTTCCATTCCCATACTTTGTTTCACTAGTTTAGTTCCAATGATGGTAAGATATCTGAACTTTTGTGTTCAAAGAGTTAGCGGTGTATTCTTTTACAATAACCCAGTAAGTTATCCCCAATTTATTACTGAGAAAACCAAGGCACAGTAAGTGCCTTGCCCTACCTCATACTGATAATAACGGTAAGGATCAGAATTAAAACCCA